GTAGAGACGGGGTTTCACCATGTTGACCAGGATGGTCTCGATCTCTTGACCTCGTGATCCACCCGCCTCGGCCTCCCAAAGTGCTGGGATTACAGGCTTGAGCCACCGCGCCCGGCCTGAAAATGCTATTCTTTTGCCATTGAATTATCCTGGTACACTTGTCAAAAATCAATTGACTATAAATGTTAGAGTATTTCAGAACTCTGAATTCTTTTTGTTGATCTATATCTCTAACCTTATGCCACCACCATACTGTCTTGACTACTGTTGCTTTATATTACGTTTGGAAACTAGAAGTATGAGTCCTCCAACCTTGTTCTTCTTTCCAAGGCTGTTTTGGCTGTTCTCTGTTCTTTGAATTTCCACATGAATTTTAGGATCAGTTTGTTGAATTTCTGGAAATAAGCCAGCTGGGATATTGATAGGAATTGAGTTAAACATGTAGATCAATTTGAAGAGTATTCCCATCTTAACACTATTAAGTCTTCTGATCCATGAAGGACTTTTCATTTATTTAGAACTTTTAAAATTTCCTTCAGGCTGGGCATGGTGGCTCATGCCTGTAATCCTAGCACTTCGGAAGGCTGAGGCAGGCAGATCACTTGAGTCAGGAGTTTGAGACCAGCCTAGCCAACATGGTGAAATCCCATCTCTACCAAAAATATGAAAATTAGGTGGGCGTGGTTGTGCATGTCTGCAATCCCAACTACATGGGAGGCTGAGGCAGGAGAATTGCTTGAACCCGGGAGGCAGAGTTTGCAGTGACCTGAGATTGTGCCTCTGCACTCCAGCCTGGACAACAGAGCAAGACTCCATCTCCAAAAAAAAGAAAAAATTCTTTCAACAGTGTTTTGTAGTTGAGTACATGTTTTGCACCACTTTTATTATTCCTAAATATTTTATTTTTCTTTTGATGCTATTCCAAATGGAACCATTTTCTTAATTTTATCTGTGTTTCTAAGCTTACTATTACCCACCACAAAACCGATACTTAGACTTCATGTCTAGATTAAGAAAGAAGCTTCAGATGAGGAAATCTCATTCTGAGATTCTTATGTCTGATCAGAAAATAAAGCTACAAATTTGACTCAAACTGTTTTAAGGATCTCAGATGATAAGTCTGAAACAAATCTGAACACACTGTTTAAATACATGCATCTAATACTTAGATAAAGAAGAAGCAGAAATAGGAATACACTAATATGATGGTGTGGCTTCCTGGAAATGCTGATGGAAAAGCTACAGAAGTAGTAAGATTCCAAAGTAGACACACAAAGATAACCCACTGGCCTTGGGCAAAGAATTAATAACAGTTTGTACAGTATTTGCAGAGTGGCTTTCAAACTGAGGTGCCCAGATTCTAGTAGTAGTCTGCTATTATGCAAGAAGAAAATATAAAAACTGATATTTATGTTTATTTATGTCACTCCTTTAGTTTTTTTTTTTTTTCAGGCTTTATAAGTGTATATAATAGCGTGGTGGTACGTTTACATACTTTGTATTAAATTAGCAGACAATTTGTCAGTTCATGCTCAACTTTTTACTGATGGAGACTATTGACTTAACTCACTGCTCAGCACATAACGAGTGTTCAGTAAATGTTAACGATCATCAAAATAATATTTATAATTGTCCTAATATCATAATGAATAAGTCCAAAAGTATTAATTGTACTTTTCTGGTTTGTTTCCTTGTCACCACTGATGAGATTATATAGCCCACAAAAGTCAAAGATCAAAACAATCAGAGTGAATGGCCCATCAACTCAACCACACACACATGAATTTTAGGATCAGTGCCATACACACATGATATATAAAATAATAAATATAAATAATATATATATAAAATAATGAAATGCTTTTTATTATCATTTAAAAATACAGGAAGATAATAAAGTCCAAAAGAAAAGAATAGATATTAATTTTGATGTCCTCAGTGTGTAAACACTAACCACCTTGACAAATATTTGCTGTTGGACCAAAGTTAACATCTACTCAGTTTTCTTCTGTTTGTTGAAACCTCATTCATCTGAAGCACAGGATCTCTGAACTGTGGGAAATACAGACATCTCTGGGTTCCTCAAAGTGGCCAGGTCAAAGATTTAGGCATCTAATCTGGGAATGGCTCTCTCCAGCCAGGCCAGCTTCCCTGCCATTCTTTGCAAGGACTGTGTGTATGGCACTGGACTTATTTTCCCAGAAGCGCTTCTGGGACTGAAGTCTGCACAAAGGGGCTGTTAAATGTGTTTCCCTCCCTCCTGGCTCAGCTGGCTCCTAACCCTCAGGGCACATAGCTCATAGTTCCTATCAACTTTTCCCAAAGGACCCCCGGGCTCCTGCAGGAGCCAGTACTTCCCTGGAACAGGAAGCTCTATTTACACTGTCTTGGAGCCTGGTGCTCATCCATAAAAGGGAAAAGAGTCCTTTAGGAAAAGGGCAGGGTGCTTGGAAACTCTTTAAAAGTGAAAGCTTTGCAACCGGTTTCTGTTGTTTTACACTGTCGGTTAATACAATTTTTCAGAACACAAAAACACATGCCCTTTGGCTGAACAGTGCCTCTGAAAACCTGATGTGCCAGTAAACAAAAAATACAGAGAGATTTTCATGGGAATCTTCCAGAGTGCACACCCAGGTCAGATCATTGCTTCTTTAGCCCTAAAGAACGTAATTCCAGGCAGACATACTGGTTTACATGTCAATAATCAAACTGTACTTTAAATGAGGAAGAAGGGCTATCTAGGCTTTGGAATAGCATCATGTTTAGGTCAATGAATGATTTTTCCATTCTCCATGCAGGTGCCTATCATGTAACTTATGTTCTACCAGCTAACAGATATACTTGGTGAGTGATATGAATGTCAAATGAGCAAAAGATACACCAGGAAAAACTGCAGTTGGTGTGGGAGAGAGGGCTTTAAGAACTGGAGCTCTGTGGGGGATTCAATCATAATGGTCAATAAATAATCATAATTTAAATTTTGGCAATAAATGTTTGTGGCTTATATATTATTTATTTATTTAGAGACAGGGTTTCACTCTGTCACCCAGGCTGGAGTACAGTGGCACAATCACAGTTCACTGCAGCCTTGAAGTCCTGGGCTCAAACAGTCCTCCACCTCAGCCTCCCAAGTACCTGAGACTACAGGTGTGCACCACTATGCCTCGCTGAGTTTTTAATTGTTGATAGAGACAAGGTCTCGCAATATTACTCAGGCTGGCCTCAAACTCCTGAGCTGAAGCAGTTCTTCCACCTCAGCCTCCCAAATTGCTGGGATTATAGGCATGAGCCACCATGCCCAGCCTGTTCGTGGTTTATCATCAGTGGTAATTGCAAACAATTATTATCAATTGTTACAAGGCATTGGGTTAAGGGCTTTATACCTGTAAACTCTTTTAACCTTCATGATAACCTTGTGAGTTAGGCACTGTCAGAATTCCCAGTGTGCAGATGGCCCAGAGAGATTAAGTAACTTATCCAAAATCACAGTGAGTGGTGAAACCAGGATACAAACCCTGGTTATCTAGTCACATAGAAGATGCCCTAACCATTCTGTTTCACCACCTCTTACACTCTGTGCCTGACTCTGTTCCTAGCATTTTAACTTAACACAAATAATGTCGCAAATTTCACGAACTAAAATAGTCATTCAACCATTTTTTCATTTATTCTGTACCTGCTAGCACCTAGGACCATACCTAGGCTAAATATAGCGATTCTGACGTAATTGGGATTGCAGAGATACGCTAGAGGCTAGGATTTGAGCACCCAGCTGTGCCTGGTCAGATTTCACATCGATCTAGCTCCACATGCTATCCCTACACTGTACCCCACGCCCCACAGGCACCTCACTTCCACCCTGGGCTTTCACAGTCACACGTGACACGAGTTTCCCTGTCTGTCGCACCTGTTGATTTCAACTGCCTGGAGCGCGCTTCCCCAGAGTGTGCCGTCTGCGCATGCGCCGTTGATTTGTTGACCTGATGATGTAACCTTCTTGGGGCAGTCACTTCCCCAAACCTGCAAGACTCTTCCATCAAGGACCACCTGTGGAAAACACTTTAGGAGGCTGAAAAGTGTTGCGTTTTTTTGTTTTTTTTTTTTTTGTGGCGGCGAGGTGCGGTTCTGGTCATCTCAAAGTCATTGGTGACTTTAAGAAAATAATATTGAGGTGAAATGTGAAAGGTTTAGAAGATGAAAAAAAATGACAAGACAACTCCACTGAGAAATCTGACTATGAAGGGTAGCAATGAATAGGCCAACAGGTGAGGGGCGTAAGGCTGAAGGAGGGTTTTTGTTTATTGTTTCTGCAGTTTCTGCTACTGTGGTTAAGAGGATCGAGACCTTTGTCTGTTTAAGGGCTGAAGGGAATGGGTAGAGAGGAAGAAAAGGCGAAGGGAATAACTGACAGCTTAAGGTTTTGGAGATAGTAGCAATGGCCTCCCTTCATTGTGAAATTGCTTAAATGAGTTGTCTGTAACTGTCTTGCTTCTCTCTTCACCTTCTAATTCCTTCTCACCTCATTTCAATATGGCTTTTACTAAGGTCACCCATGCCATATTGCTGGGAACACAAAATCACTTCTCAGTACTTTAATGTCCAGAGCAGGATGGGAGATCAGTGTTTTTGTTTTTTTTTTTTCCACAAATAAGACTTTTTATTTGCCAATATTATAAGTCTGAACTTTAAACAGATTCTTGGACTGGTGGTTCATATCCATCAGCTCGTTCAACTTTAGCACCTGTCTCATCCCCAGTGGCTTTTCCAGAACTACTGCCTTCACCATGAAGCTCCACGAGTTTTCCCAATTCAAATTCAAACTTGGGCTTCTTCAGCATTTTTACTTTTCTGACGAAGACATCATGGAGAGGATAAATAGATTGGCAAGCCTTTTCTATGTCTTTTCCAATGCTGTCTGGAATCAACTTATTGACCACTTCTTTCAAGTCATTTGTCTGCACCTCTCAGGTCATGATTTCCATCATCTTCTTCCGGATTTGGCGGACCTGTTGGTGCTGAGCATAAGAGGTCTTCCGTATCTGATTGTTGCTTTTTTTAGTAAAACCAACACAGAACAGACGAAGCAAGTAACCATCGGTAGTCTTGACATCAACATGAGCTTCAGTCATTGTCTGTCATTTTTTGACCATGGAGCACATTTTGTCATGGTCAAAATGTGGCATCATCTTACGATCCATGCCATGGAAGTTAGTCAGGCAGTTTTTGCCCTGAACATCTTCAGTAATTAGCTTGAATTTCCTAAATGCAACTTCATCATTCTGCAAATCAGCAAGACTAACTTCAAACACT